GTTCTATACTGGAATTTCCAGATATGTAGTTGCGATACGTTCTATTCCCGGGTACTACGATCTTGTCAAGTACCTTATCCCTTTGATTGCCGTCGTTGCATTTTGTTTTGTTGTTCTTTGCATATCATTGGTAAGTAGTCATCCAAACAAATTTTAGATTATCCTTAGTTGTCGCAAAATTTATGTCTCATTTTTGCGTGAGTATAATGTGAGATATATTAGCTTCTGTAAGTTAATGATTCAGGAATTCGAGATTTACCAAAGAAATAACATAAAAGTTTCTGAATAATAAACTCATTGGCGATATTAAAATTCATATGTTTCTTGAAAATATCCGTTATTTGTTGTAGGCAGTACGAGTATGCCGCGAGCGTCGACATTTAGCAAAAAAGAGATTATCGAAGCGTAATTTGAAAAAGTTACCAGTCAAAAAGTTTAGAAAAGGTTTGTGAACTTTCCCACAGTGAATCAAAAAGATTTATTAAGATTATATTATTTATAAATACTTTTTAAATTCTCTCAAATTTTTCTTATTCACTTATTGCTGATAGGTCCTTTTTCTCATAATGAAGCTACCAGCTAACCTTCTTAATCGTTCAGTCCTTATGGTCTTAGCTGACAGTACTGCTTTCTTCTTCATTTCTCTGGAGTTCTTGAGATTCGATGTCCTCCTTGCCTATCTCTTGATCATTCGTTTGTTTGTTTATTATGAAATCATTAATAAACAATTTAACAAATGCAGTTCGTAAATCTCATATGATGATCCTCCTTTGAATCATGCTCAGTGATCGTTGTCCTGGATCATGTATTGATATCCCTGTAGCCATTATTTATGGCTATATTTAGTTGTACACTGCGTCTTGATTTTCCTTAATGGACCTTAAATCGAAAAATTTATCAATTCAAATTTTTTTCAGGTGATGCGGAGGAATCGTGCGCTATATGCATTGATGACTTTGTTGATGGTGAAAAATTGCGTGTCTTACCTTGTAATCATGGTAAAATTTTCAGGTCTTAGGAACTGAAGACAGCATCCTTATGAATTCACGATTTAATACAATTTTGTTTATGTTTTATATGGTTATTAAGATTTCAGTGAAAAGCATTAGTGATTTATATGCTTATTCAGCTTATCATTGTAAATGCATCGATCCTTGGCTGACGAAAGTTCGAAAAGTTTGTCCCATATGCAAACGAAAAGTTTTGTCATCAGAAGAGTCTCATTCATCAGATTCCGACAATGATGGTCGCGATTCTACATCAGCATCGGGTTCTACAACGGTATATCGTGAAAACGCTCCATTACTTCGTAATGCTGAGGCAGTAAGTTTTTCTATTGCTGTTTGCTTGTTTTAAAGTAACCAAAATTCTTACTATCTCGAATACATCGTAATTATTTTGGGAATGGTTGCTTTTATTGTGTTTTAAACTGAAGACTTTTTCGAATACAATCTTCATTTCAGTAATATATCATAAATCTGACTTTTCTTTTGCAGTTCGCATCTGGAAGTCCCTCAACACCCACTCAGAGAATAGGACCTCGAAGAAATACGCAAGGTAAATACATGAGAAATATATTTTATGAAAGGAAAGCTTGTATTTTAATAGTACTTCTTTTCATACTTTTATTTTACATGGTACTATAATATATTTTCAGGTAGACATAGGCCGCCCTTACGCGTGATTATAACATCCCCTACTGATACTCCTTTACCAGCGCCTGGAACAGATTATGTAACTACCACTGATGGGGAAATTCGTGGTACGGGTGGTACCACCAGTGCAATATCAAGTCGAATTGAAGCAGTGTCCGGAACATTATATCGAACTTTACGTTCATATTATCAGCAAATTGCCAGTAGGTCGATACGTGTCGCATGGGGAAATGCTACGAGTGAACCAGTAAATTTGTATAATTTTACTATTTAATTTACTGTATGAAGACTATTACACAGTACCATGCGACACAGGATGAGATGGAGCAATACTGACTGGGTCTCCATTCCGAAGATTTTTCCTAAAGTTAATTCGAGTTAACTTTTCTAGAATTATTGATTAGTGAGATGATTAATACTTTGATAAAACGGCAGTTTTATTATTATTAACTTTCCTTGTTTCAGGTATGCGAATCTGAACCAAGTGCACAAAGGCCTTTTGTAGTCGACAATAATGCTTTTGATGAAAGCAATGAAGCGCTTAATGTAAATTTTTATTTAAAAATTTAAACTATTTTGTTTTCAAATCAGTTGAATATTTTCATTGTTTTGAAGTAAGACTATATTGCAGATAGAAGGCTCTTCTGTTGCTAGTCAACTTGATCCTGAAGCTGCAGGTATTTTTCCTGCAGAAGGGATTACGGTAAGTGAAAGAGATCGCTGTCTAATCGCAGCATCTGGCAGATTAACTCGTGCTGATCCTAAATTAAAGGCCGAACTATCCAGTGATAATCAACAAAATATAGATATTTTGTTTTACACAGCTTTAGTTTCTTTTTTAAGAGCAATTATTGCATATTTTTTTATCAAACTATCAGCTGTTACTACTGCAAAAGAATTCACTCTCAAGATGAAAAAAATCCAGCTATCCATTTTCACATCTTCCTTTGACTGAACATAACAGGTATTTATTAACAGCTAATTTTTTTGCAGACCATCACCATCGAAAGAGTCCGTACTAGCGAGCCTATTGCAAATGTATCAGTATGTACAAGACATGGGTATGACATGTAAATCTTTTTTGCTTGACATTCCCCTACAAACTTTTTTAAAGAAACTTTTAAAAATTGTGTTGTCTATCAAATGGTCAAATTGCTGTCAGTCGATATGCAAGTTCTAATAATTGGTATGATAAAATTTGAGGTTTCCAGCCTTTTTTCAATCGTTTGATTCTGAATGAGATACGTTTATGAAAAAAAAATGTTTTATATGTTTGATTTGTCCATTTTAGTGCAACTATAATATCTATTAATTTTTTTCAATTGTTAGCGATTCGACAGAACATGATTTGAATATTGGCGAGCAAGCTTTAATGGATGAATTTGGAACTACAAGCGGTGTTGAGGAAGAACATGGTTGAAACTAGTCTGATATTTTTTTTAGGATTTCATTTCTTGTTAATTTAAATAGTTGAGGCGCAGTCAATTAAAGCTCCTTTCTGAGGTGCGTAGGTTCATTAACCAGTTGTTGGAAAAAGATATTTGCTCGATTCCCATATGAGAAAAGCTTAGGAAAGAAATTCACATTTATCGATCTGTATGTAATAGCTTATTAAATGTAAAATTTGTGATTTTTTTAAATTCCGAATTCTCAACAAATCGATCATATTGGTAATTGATGGTGTTTTAGTTCCATTGCGCTGTTATTTGTCCAACGCAATTTGCTAAACAAATTTTTTTTCATTTAAACGGTGTAACAGATATCCGGTACATTTATGAATCGGAGTTTGAATTATTCATGATACTTTGATTTCAAATTTATTGCTAAAAAGTGTTTAAGAGTTTTTGAATTGTGTTTCCCTTCTCATATTCCTATATTCAATTTTTATCCAGAAATGTTCGAGTTATGATAGGACAAATATGAAAAGTGATGATATGAAAAGATGACATACAGTTTCAGAAACTCTTCTCAAGAATAGCACACTATGCACAGATTTATGATACATAGACGTAATCTATTAACTATTTTATTACCTTAAAATGTTGATGCATTAATTCTTGATTCCATATATTTTTGTATTAGTCTTATCTTACGATAGCAAACATTTATATTTAACTTTTGATCGGCAAACATTTGCTATAATATCGAAGCACCGAGTCGAAAATCACGGCTATATTTTTCATCCTCGTTGATTTATTAAATATATTCAACGTTTTGTTTGCAGGGAATTTAGAAGGCTTATAATAAAACTCGTTTGATAATTATCTTCATTTAAAATGCATTTAAAATTTAAAGAAATTATACAATATTTCTTTAAACTTTAAATGAATAAGTACTATTTTGTATTGCATCAACTTCGATGTTTCCCGAAAATTTTTAAAAATTATAAAATTTGGCTCGAAGATAAGCAGGTAATTTGATTGCACGCTTCACAGAAATTTCTTCATTTAAAAAATTACTGATATTTTTTTTTAATCAATGCTCACTATTTGACGACCTGAATTTGTTCATTGTCTTTCTTCTCTTTTTTTTTCCCATTAATTCCTGTGTTATCATTAGTCTCTCGCATTATTGCTCCTGCTGCTACATATACGCATATACATGGTGGTATTATTCTGGTTTTTTTATTTTGCTTTAGAAATTTTTTTTTCTTGTAGTTGCATAATTGATAGGGAATTATATATGTAGGAGTTTATTAGGGGCTGAATTTTTCGTTTTTATGTGATATAATTTTAATTTAAATGTTATCTGCTTTTTCTCTGTTTTTCATAATGCATAGATTTTATTTTTTGCTCTTTTGAGTTATGATATTTCTAAAATTAACTGTACTTAATAGAATCAATAATAGATGAGGACTTGTTGATGAGTTAAGTTTTAACTATGTATGATGAGAGATTGCAGTGTAATATGCATACATTTTTTTTTTTTTTGATATGCTTTAGAATATACAAATTGTATATAAAATTCGATGATATTGTTGTCACTTGTAAAGCTGAGTTTGTATTGTAGTCAAATGTTTATTTCTAAGCTGTAAATATCTGTATAAAGGAATTTTGCCGGTTTTAAGTATTCTTGCATTTTAATTGACTTGTTTAGTAGGATACTATTAGAGACATTGGAGAAATATTTTAAAGATATATTGCAATGAAATACTTTCCAGAGTAGTAGTGTGGAAGTTTTTCACTTTTTACATAAGTGAATAATAAATCCAATTGATAGCTGGGATGTTTTAAAATAAAGTTATATCTTATCAATATTGTTATATTGGATTTAGGATAAGTAGTTCAATTTTTTCTGATCATACCGTATTCCATACGGTAGGTAACATCGATTGAATTGATCATTTTTATTGTATAAAAAGATTTCGGCTATGTATAGTAGTTTCCGAACCTATACATGAGGACACTAAAAGTAGGGCCAATTTATTGAATTTTGATTCTTGTTAACTTGGGTAATGAAAAACATTTCAAAAATTTTGAAAATAGTAAAATTTCGATGCGTTCCACAATGGCATATTCTATGAGAATTTTGAAAATTTCGGACAATGCGTGGTGAAATAGAGTGCATAGTAATAGTGCTTACATTTAGCAAGCATAATAGTAACAAAATAATGCATTTATTCTTTGTTTTAAATATATTCATAAGTTTTTCAAATTATTGCATTTCTATTTTAAATATATTTATAAGGTCAACTTTTTCCATCTTGCACATTCATGCATTATCATTTTTTTTGGAATCATTTAAATTTTAAATCTGAATAAAAGTTTGAGAGGAAAGTGGCATTTACAAGAATAATACTTTTTGGTATTAATTAATTGTATTAGCACCAAAAATTAGCTTTCTTATACGAGCTTATCAATGATAATTACGGAAGAAAAAACAATACAATTAAATTAGAGGTTGGAGTAAATAATCCATTTAAATTATACGTGAAGATATACAAAAATTGAAATAAAATATTTCGATTAAGCATACTTCCTTCTTCTCTTATGCATACAAATAGATTATAGATTAGACCGAAGGAAATTCATATGATATTAAAATACAAATAAAAAAGACAGTACAGTATAGTGTGCAACATATTCCTTGATTGTTACACATTTACTTATTTATTTATATCTATACTTATTTAAATTATCTAATTTTATCTATTTATTTAATTTGACGATGAAATTTTTGCTCCATAATCGTTTACAGTAGGATACAAATAAATAAACTGTTTATTACTTTTATTTTCTTCTTTTTTGAGTGCTTTTATTTATGCACAAAGTTTTAATTAAATTTAATTAAATTCAAATGCGAACGTATCATCTTACTACATTAAGGAATAAAAAAATAATTAGCACTGTAAATAACATTACATGATTCGTCTTTATATAAAATAATTATCCAATGACAAAATTTTCACTCCTTCATTTCATAAACAAAAAAATAAAAAATCAAATTATTTGAATAAAGTTGTTAAACTATTATTGTAAATGAATTAGCACAATTACACAAAGTAATGCAAAATAGCACAGCTGAAATCAAATTAAATTTATTTGCGGGTTGAATTCATCACTCTTCCAGTAGCTTAGCCTGATAAACGTTAGGACTGAAGTTTAACTGCATTAATATAAGCAAATCTTTCTACAACCTGCTGATCTAATCGAAAGTAGTTAATCATTATAAGATAAATCATCAAATATTCGTATTTTTCTCATCTTCAGAAGTGATAGCCCTTCTTTAAAATTGAAAAAGTTTATCATATTTACAGGCAATTTATATCAAAATTTTAAAAAAA